ACGTATGATATATTGCTTTATTCAGCTAGAGTTATGTCATCACACTTTATGTCGAGTAGCTACTTTATCTTATAACCACTTTTTATGTTAAACATGTCAGTACTTTAAGTCAAATACAAGTCCATTAGTCAACTTCTCATGTCATGGCCACCATCTTAGTGATTTTCGTTGATGTAGTATGCACCTTGTGTCTATGAATCATCTTATTAAGCAATGGCAGGCCCGTAACTAGTGGAGGAGCCGGAGGCAAAGCCCCCCCACCCCCCTGCAAAATCCCCCCCCCCCCCCTGTGAAAACCTTGTCGACCATAGATATACATTGTTCGTCAATTTTACAGCACCCCTGACAACACTTTCTCATTGCTCTGAGCTAGTTAGGCCCTGATCAATGGAACATAATTATCAGTCCGGATATATTTTAAAATATCCACAGTAAAGGGATTTGGTCAGTCTAGAGGTTGTGTACGAAATGAAAATCAGACTGTATACACCCACATTAGCAAATTTGTTTGTCTGAACCGTAGGTTGCTTGGGTATACACACGATGACCCGGAATTGTCTTTAATACCGCGCATATGTAAACAACCGTGTGTTAAATCGTACCAAAATACACTACATGAAATAAATTATTTAAAGTGTTATCGACAGTTATTATAGCCTAAATGCGCCCAAAAGCAAATAACCATTTTCCATATTTAAATTTAATAGAATTATGATCTTATTTAGAAGGCAATCTAAGGGTTTGAATCAAAGAAGGGGTGGGGTGGATGGTCGCGCTGTATAAGGTCTGTCATTGAGTCAACTGGCGTGGTTTCGATTCCCCGGTTGTACGTGACAAGGAGTAGGGTCACCTGTCCAACATCGTGGGGTTTTCCCGGGTCCTCCGGTTTTCTCCCACTGCTAAAGACCCCTAAAGTCCCGAAATGATCTCTCCTCTCTCTCTCTCTCTCTCTCTCTCTCTCTCTCTCCCTCCCTCTTCAAAGATAAGACAGAAGGCAATCATTTATACTAAAAGCTCATAGTATCCTGAAAGATTATTTTCTGAAAAACATGTATATTGTATACTGAAATAAATGGTAACGCCATATCCTCACGGATATCTTGAATCCTGTATCACACCGTATAAATATACATTGTTATAGTCCTGTTATAGAAAAGTGAGAATAGAAAAATGATTAATATGTATATGCATGAAGGGACATGATGACGTGTTTTAAAGGATGTGTATATATTTATAAATCATGATTTTGTTCAGTTGTGATAGCGAATGATGTAGTTATGTCTGTTCGATGAGTAAAACGAACTATTGAAAGATTTCATACATTACCAATTCATCACGGTCGAAAAAACAAGAATTTTTACTTCACTTGAATACCCAGATTTACCACACCCCTTTTTTATACTCTATTGATATGGTCTATGTAAATATATCGTGCCGTATTGTATATGTATATATAAAGCTTTTAATATAATATATAAATATATTAAAACGTTCACACGGAATATATCCTAGTTATTTAAAATTATATAACCTCATTTTACGTTTTAAATACAGGGATAGTCTTTTAAAGTCTTGTATGAATGCGTTATTCTTTAAGGAGTTTGATTTCAGATGTGTATCTTTACACGTAAAAAAATGCGCTTACATAATGGTGTTTTTTCGGGGGGGGGGGGGGTGTTTTTTTTTTTGTTTTTGTTTTTCTGCTTTGTAAATAACATTGATGGTAGGGTAAATTTCTATGAAAACTGAGCTCCCTAACCTACATTACTTGAACATTCCTCTATGCACTCATGTGAATATGCATTTGTAGTATCGCTTCTTCCATATACTTGTGAACTATAGTTACATGATTTGGCGGGTGTCATGCAAGAAGTAGTGTCTAAGTTCTCTTTACGAAACATCTACGAGAGAAATGTCCTGGGGGATGTCCAAATGCAAATACTCCTCTATTCATCTTGACGTTTAGCTTAAATTCGTCTATTTTGGTGTCATTGGAAAGTGTTTCGTCGTTAATTTTGGATTGTCTGGTTTGTATTAATGTACTGTATGTTCTATACATTTTTAGATAGCTGAGCTGTACCATTTATTGTATGCTAAAATCCATTTACAAATGACTCGTGTTATTATTGGTACAGGCAATTTATTGACATTAAGGAAAGAAAACATTAGTTTAATATTAGTCTAAATAAGATGTGTATTGTCTACAGATGTTTCAAGTCTTTTATAGACATGTAGATTAATGATAATATAGGATAGTAATTATAGTCCTGTCAATCAAAATAACTCAGAAAAAATGATCTCGTTTTAAAGATGTCGTCCCTGAATTTCACATGTTCTGGTATAGTGGGTTTAAATATACATCACAAACATTAAAATGTAAGTAAATACCAGTAGCCCACTTACAAACATCTTCAGTAGAAGGCTTGATCTCGCTTTAACTCCGTACATCTTACCAAGCCCTTCACGTCATAGGATAGTAATTATCGTCTTATGAATCAAAATAACTCTGAAATAATGATCTCGTTTTAAAGATGTCGTCCCTCAATTTCACATGTTCTGGTATAGTGGGTTTAAATATACAACACAAACATTAAAATGTAAGCAAATACCAGCAGCCCACTTACAAACATCTTCAATAGAAGGCTTGATCTCGCTTTTAACTCCGTACATCTTATCAAGCTCTTCGCGTAATACCCTGCATATTTCGACACTAATTTCGACTGCATACTAACCCAGCTGGGGAGCCTATCAGATTCTCCGATCAGAGCGAATAACAAGTCTCGCGCTTTTCGGCTAAAATGTCTACCTGTGATAATCGAGTTTATTCAATGTCAAGGTTTCCGTGGAGGTCGCCATGTTTGATTTGAGTGTGTTTGTGTCACAACCTCTGATTGAGCTATCGTTCATGTGTCTGCGCTAAAGGGAGATAACGTAGCTATAGGTTCGGGAATTGCAAACAAGTTTAGCAACGTCTAGACGTTGTAACACTCGCGATCGTTGCTTCGGGGACATGATTTACAGATGTCATAAAGCATCAGCTCAAAATATTGTATTGGTTGGGAATGATCGCAAATCCTTAACGGGGAATATGTATATTCTCCCACCCCATTGTGTAACCTAATAAATAAAATGATGCCAGGTACCTTCGGTAAACGGATAATTCAGACAAGATGGAGCGATGAGGATTAAGCTTCAACTCATTACTATCTGGAACATTTCTGGGGGTAACCGGAGTACTTAGATAAAAAAAATCACTTTGTTACGTACTTGTCACGTACATACCAGATGGGTTGCATGGATAACAGACCTTATGATCGCTTTAGACACCCACCCCCTCCAGCTTTAAATTGCCCCACGGGACTAGGCTGAATGATTATTGGAGCTTTTGAAATAAAATTAACCAGTTTTATTTAATAATATATATATATATGGAACAGCTCCTTTAAATTTGGGATAATCATGTAATAACAAAATTAATCAATGAGAAAGACAGACACAAGAAACAAACATGTCTACTTTAACAGGTAAACAAGAGAATGAAACCTATACCTACAAAAATAAATCGTTCAAACGCATTTTATTTGACATAAGCTATAACCTAAGATTACTGTAGGCAAGAAAAGCTTATAGGCAAATACCAAGCCATATGATCCCCCATGGTCATTTTACATGTACGTTTTTACACATTCCTTCTTCTCGTGGTATTTGTCAATGGTTTTGTACATTTGATAATCAAAGTCATCTACACTGAAAATAAACGCTATCTGAATTCACCTTAGCTCCAATGTACATAAGGCAGAACAATCCATTGATTCGAAGTCAGGATTATCGTTACCGTGAAATAAAAAGGATATCCCGAGGGTCTATAACTGCAGACCTAAGACCCAAAACGAAGATCCCCAGTGTTATTGCCATTATAACTGTACTTACATGTTAAATACCCCTTATATTATATTTCGATAATAAGGGTACTATAAGTTTTTTTTATATATTTTGGGAGAATAAGTATTAAAAATGTGTTTTTGCTTATACACACTCGGTTATCCCATCTTTTTCAGTAAACCCGATTCATTTATTGGACTCTCTGTCTACAATGGGTAGTCATGATTTGAAAGTATTAAACAAATTCAGATTGTGCAGTAGGTCAACACCAAAAAAAGGCAACGACGTTTTCTAGATACTTACGTTGGGATTGTGGTTAGGCCTGTACTTTAAACAATGAATAAAATGGATTTAAAAAAAAGACATTAAAAGTGTAAATAGATTATATAGTTTTGTGAATGATGTTTCTATGGAAACAAATGCACATTATAGCTAATGTTATTTTTCAGATTACATTCGTTTTCAATATCCTACCTACATGTCATCATGTAATTAGATTTGATGATATAAGATATTATGTATGTTTTATATATTACATGTGTATCAGGACAAGAGGTCTATAATATAAGACGGGGGATCACGTGGCTAAGTGGGTAAGACGCTGGCTCGCTAGCATGGAGGTCGGGTGTTCGATCCCTACATTGGCCGAGAAAGTTCATTCAGATTTTCCGGCGTGGTTTCCCCTTGTCAGTGATGCAGGATGGAGGGCTTGACAAGAACAGCTGTCTAGTCATTCGGATGGGACGAAAAACCGAGGTCCCGTGTACACATTGCCGTGCACGTAAAAGATCCCTTGGCAGTTGGAAATCGATATAAGAGTAGGCCGTAGTGCCGCTGCCCGGGCAAAATTTCCCTCATAGCACACTGTATGGCGTATGCCCGTCTTCATTAGCCCAGGTTAGGAGCAGAACAGTAGGACGTTAAACCCCATTTCATTTCTATAATATAAGACATTAAAATATATGTATGTTTTATACTTTACATGACGTGTATTAGAACAGTGTGTATATAAGATATTGATATATGTGTATTATTTTATATATTACATGACGTGTATTAGGACAGTGTGTATATAATATTGGATATTAATATCTGTGTATGTTTTTTATATATTACAGGTGTATTAGGACAAGCTGTAGGTGATGTAAGTGGTCTGATAGCAGCAGCTGTAATTGGTTTCTTTATGTTAATAATTGTAATAACAATGTTAGCCTTATTACTTACACTGTAAGTGTACAAGTTATTATCCACAATTCACACGATTTTTTTAAACCCACTCCATCATTTCATCTGTAACCATGCAAATTGAATAATTGTGGCATTTCCTAATGTTAAGTCTTTAATAATTTGTGGCATTTGAGCATTTCTTCATGATAAGTTTCGAAGAAATGTGTCATTTGATCTTATTAAGCCTAATACAAATGTGTCATTTGATCATTGTAAGTCTAGAGTAAATGTGTTGGTTAAGCATTTCTTAGTAAGTCTGAAAGAAATGTGTCATTCCTTTATGTTGAGCCTAGAATAACTGTGTCCGAATGGTTGGCGCGTGCGTGTTGTATCATAAGGTCTGCCATTGAGTCAACTGGCGTGGTTTCGATTCCCCGGTTGTACGTGGCAAGGAGTAGGGTCGCCTGTCCAGCCTCGCTGGTTTCTCTGGGGTCTCCGGTTTCCTCCCACTGCTAAAGACCCCGACGCGCAAGCGAATTATTGAAATAAAATTTAACCATAATATGTTAGTCCTGAAATGACCTAATTTGTGTCGAATAGACGTTAACCCCCCCCCCCCTCTCTGTCTCTCTCTCTCTCTCTCTCTCTCTCTCTCTCTCTTATGAAAAAGACATATTCAATTTGGAATTCATGTTCTAAGCGCGATGGAGCCTCGGAGACTCAGTGAGTAGGACTTTGTTTTCGATCTCTGTGTTGATCAAAAAAAAATAAATCGAGAGTTTCCAGCGTGGTTTCCCCTTGTCAGTGGTGCAGTGCGTAGGCGTCCGCCTACAGTTGTTCGGATGGGACAAAAATCCGAGGTCCCGTGTACACATTGGCGTGCACGTAAAAGGACCCTTGACATTTGGAATTCGAAACAAGAATAGGCCGTAGTGCCGCTGTCCGGGCAAAAGCAAAATTTTCCCCATGGCACCTGTATTGCGTATGCCCGTTTTCATTAACCCAGTCGGTGCAGAACAGTAGGCCGTTAAATCCCATTTCATTTCATGTTGTATGAAGCGCAAGACCAAACCCATTAACTGATTTCCTGCATTTTATAGATAATAACCATCCTGACCTAACAGATGATTGTGTTTTTCAGAGATAGTTGGTATCCTAAACTACAAATGTGGAGAGGTAAAGTAAAAATACCTCGTCATGTTATTGCATTAAGGAAAGCTCGAGCAAAGAAAGCGGCTTCAGATAGAAGCATGGTAGTTGCAGCCGGCAATGGTACTTTAAATGGTAAAGTACCAATGCATGTATCAGACCAAGATTCAAGTAAGTATTGTATTCTAACGTACGGTTCACGTATATGATTTTACTTACAACTAATAGGAGAAAAACAAAATAACAACTACAGTCTCCAGAAGTAATAATGAGACTTCATTGATGCATATTTTGGTGGTGTGACATCGCTTTGATAGGCTTTATGATTATGGTGATATATGTTTTTATTTAATATCATTTTCTTAATTATAACTGATAACATTAATCAACATCATTATACCTTTTTGAAATGCCCTCTTTAATTGATGCTGCACATATACCATCTATACATTATTTTGTTAACTCTATTTGAAATGATTAACATCAATCGTCGTCTTTAAACATTATTTGAAATGCCCTGTTTAATTGATTCTTCACCAATACAATTTATATGAAGTGTTCAATTTAACTGATTATACACTGACCGGTCCAGTATGGTGTCAGTATGTATACCTATTTGGAACGCTGTCGAGGCATCAACATAATTTGTAACTTATTGATTACGCTCTTATTTAGCTAATGTAATGGCGCTGCATCCTTGTATGGTTTTTTTACAGTTTCCCTATTACTTTTTATTATTCTAATATTAATATTCATATATTTATTCTAATCTTTTACTTCACGCTTTTCATTAATTCATAAATCTGTTTTCCTCTGTTTTCAGGATCGTGGGTTGAAGGCTGGTAAGTTACATCCTGACTTTTGTTTCCAAAATACACATGCTTTTTCAAACATTAATGCTATCTTATTAATTAGCATCATATCAAACGTTATATTCTTAAACATACATTATGCAGAGCTAAACCTGCCTATTGCAGGTCTTTCTTTAGGCCTTAAATGTTATCTAAATTATTAATTAAACATTTATTTAAAAAACAAGACCATAATCAACTCTCGATGGCATCGCATACGCGATATTTAACTAGATTAGAACGGTTCGCCATTTAAAAATTTAATTTGAAAATGGGAAAGCGAGACTAAGTCTCGAATATGCCAGTGCTCTGGTTACCACAATGCACACATCTTGTCAAAACTACAAACAGTGATACCTTGGGTCATAATAAAGTAATTTAAATGAAATTTTCAATATTTTCATTTTGCATTATTTATTTTCGAACTATTATAGTAAGAATGATCATTTCTTTATCTAAATCTTAACTAATGTATCTTTAATCTATATCGGGGCTATAATTATTCACGTTCATGGCGTTACATTTTATAGATTAATTCGTTTTAGAGGTCAGTTTATGATAAACTGCACAAATAATGTTTGGTATATGGTGTATCTCTCTTTGCACACTGGATAACGCATGATTATATATCCTTAATTAATTACAAGTATTATATATCTTGCTCATAATTAAAACCTACATTCTGAGGGCCCTGAAATTTTAACTGTTCTGCAAGCCCTTCACAACCAGAACGAGATCTATGTTTCCACCGTTATCTTCTCCAATTTAATTCCTAAGTCATTACACTATATTTTGTGATAGTTCATCCGTGAACTCTTATATTTTATTTAGTAACGACCATGCCAATGCAGTATACCTAAAGAATACAAGTCGCTTCTGCGGCTCCCCCGGGGTTAAGGCCATTGAACCTTAAGGATCATTAGTTTCATAGTAAATTCGTATAATCAATATTGATCGACAGCGCCTCTTAAGTGCTGCATTTCCAATAAACTTCTTTAGTACCGTCTAAGAATCAGGTTATGAAAGAAAATTTCAGTTTACTTCATTAAATTTCCAGGGTAATGCATGGTAGGAGGTAAGAAACTGGGTCAACCAATATAAAAACTGTTTTATAGCAGAATATGTAGATAATTACATTTTGATGTTCATTATTCTCAGACAAGTCAAATTTAATGACCACACTTGAAACTTTTTCAAGCTGTAAATGTCAGTTTGTAATATTGTTTACACATTCTGTTAAATAACGACAGTATTTTAATATAGCAATGTAGATTATCATGGTTTTGCGTTTTTTATTTGTATTTTTTCTAACTTGATCAAATAGGAAACTGCCTATAGCATGCAATAACACAAACGGGCAGAGTATCACACTTTAAAAAGACCAGAAGTAAGCAACTCGCCTCTATACCCTTTTCGATAAAAAACAAATAAATAATTTCTCTTTGTAGATGTGATTTCTTTTTACCACCAGAAACTTTTGGAATATTTTGTCTGTCTTGACAAGTCTTTAAATATGTTAAATAATTCGTTTTTATTTGGGTGTGCATTGGTCATGATTCTTTTGATGTTGTCGGATTTTCACTATTCTTTAAGATACACCTATGCCAAAGTTAGAAAAGATATAAAAATAGCTTTCAATTTTAGATATGTTCGTTCTCCTGTTCTTGTATCCGTCTATACCTATGTAGCCTATATTATTTAGTTCCTGCTTCACCCTATAATGTAGTACGCTAGCCTATAGGCCATATATCTTTTTCCTTAGATCACAATAACTGTGTGCGTGAATATAAATTATTTAAGTTATCTTTTACAGTCTACTGCACACACTATGGCTGCGTGATATAAAACCATAAATGTTATATTACCCCGGACATAATTCATTGGAAAAACATGTACAATTACTGTTTCGACTAATGTTCTAGAATCTAGATAATCCAAGCCGAGACTTCAGTAATTGTAAGCTTGTTCATATAATTGCATCCTTACATTTATAGTTCAGTAACGTAATGCATTGAAACACTTTAATAAGTTATTGTTTGTACAGGTTTAACTTCCTGGTATGAATAATCCTAAAATAGTCACCAGTATATGCATGGATAATATTAAACTATAAACCATTGTAAATAGTTTATTAAATTACAAATTCTTTTTTTATATCCTGATATATTTTGTTTCATTATTTGTTTTTCTTATGCTGTTTACCTTTAAGCTATATTTAAAGTGTGTGTTCAATCACCTTCTTTTCCGTGCCCCAAGCTCGGCTTATGTGTGTTCTCAATCTCATTTCGTTCCGTTTTATTTTTAAATTCTGTATTTCTGTGGACAATTGTCTGGAAGGTTTCTTAAGTTATCCATAGAAATAAGACAGGAAAAGGTCTTTATCCGGTAATCGCTGGTATCGAAACGTACTAACGAGTAGTGAAGTGAGCATCTTATAGAGTTGCGGGATTGGCACTTTAGGGGACCAGGCTGGTGACGTGACAGTCGCACCCTTCTCATTTCACACATATCCCCAGGGGCGCCGGAACGGCGCGAGGGCCAGGGTACCAACAGATAGGGGGTCCAGGGGGCAGGTCTCTTCCCACGGCCTCTAGAAAATTTTGAAAATTTGTCAATTCCGAGAACGCTGTTTAGAGCGCCTCTAGCATTCCAAATTCTAACATAAAACCATTTAAAATACATGATAATGAAAGAGACAAAAGCCGGATTATTCACAAATGAATAGATTAGTAAAAGGGTTGAAAACTTTCATCATTAGAGCATGGGTATACATGTATACCACAGAAAAGGGCAGGGTACCATTTGTATACCCTTGTACCCGGGTTCCGGCGCCCCTGTATATCCCTGTGACAATGTGCCCAGTTAGTCCAAATGATCCCCACTAACTCGACAATTCTCGTTGACCCAGTTACGTTTCGATTCAAGGAGCTGTGATGTAATAATAGTGATACAAATATGATCAACATAGCCCTACCAAAAAAGATTAAAGGTGTATGGAAGTATTGATAAATGTGTAGGAAATTGTGGTGGCTACATGTTTAGTTGGTGTGTCCTCACTGTGCCCACTTTTGATTAATCCAATTAAGGTCTAATTAGGATTAGTGGATTAAGCGGATTAGGATTAGGTGTTATAGGTAATTAGATGGGAAAAAAACCCAAATATTTTATGTAATTTTTTTTTTATTTTTCGATGTTTTATATATATTTAATAAAAATATAACATACATGGATATATCATACATCACATTAGCACTTTATAATTTAATGAAAATATAACAATTTTCGATGTTTTATATATAAAATATTTAATAAAAATATAACATACATGGATATATCATACATCACATTAGCACTTTATAATTTAATGAAAATATAACAATTTTCGATGTTTTATATATAAAATATATAATAAAAATATAACATACATGGATATATCATACATCACATTAGCACTTTATAATTTAATGAAAATATAACAATTTTCGATGTTTTATATATAAAATATGTAATAAAAGTATAACATACATGGGTATATCATACATCACACAAAAACAAGATAAACAATGAAAATTTACAATGTAGTTAAACGGGCTACGCCATCGGCATACTCGAATACAGTCTTTATACCGTTCTGAAGATCTGTTTTCAGAGTTTGGAGTCGGGTTTCTAGTTGCCTGTACTTTCTTCTCTTAGGCCGTAATTTTCCGTTGGCACCTAACTGGAGAATGGTTACCTCGGAGTAAGCTTGTTCATTCTTAAAAATATTTGGGTGAGGGGTGGCAATAATGGATGTTATCTTGGAATGCCATCCTTCAACATGGTTCGTTGTGCGTGGACCTTCAGTGTGGAAATGGTTCCACATCATTCTGTCATGCTGCCCCTCCACCCAGAACTCAGTTACGTAATCTGCAAATTGCAACACTCTGGCATCTTGGAGTGGTGCATCATCAAGGGCATGCAGCCATACATCTTCAACCTGCTGTATTGGAATTAATGGTAATGCTGCTGCTTGCTTGACGATTTTATTGATTTCTGGCACCCGAGAAAAATCTGCTTGTAGTCCATATTTCTGCGCATTGCGCCAAATACACTGACCAAAGTGAAAAAAACAACCTTTTAGTTCTGACCTCGGCAACACAGTTCTCACAGCATTTTGCATACTAACTTCGAAATCTGTAAACACATGGCCTGGGTTAAGATTAACATTGACAAGTGCCAATGTTTTGTCTCTAACACATCTGAGGAACTCAACATATGTTACCTCCTTCTTATCGGGTAATAGTGCATACACCAAAGGGAACATTTTATTGTGTACAAAAGCATGTATAGTGTAGATCTGGGTGAATAAGGTAGGACTCATGCTAAATGTTCCATCACAGTATATAGTGTCTGCATTGGCGAGATGGTAAAGATTTTCTTGTGTGGAAAACACTAGAAACCTGTTGTCGGCTGCTGCGTGGAGAAGGAAGTCGTCTCCGGATGTGGTCTTGGTGTAAGAATCTGGAAGCTGGATATCGTTGCGGGTCTGAGGAAGTGCTGGGAGGATCTTTGCTCGGGCTCTATACAGGGAAGCACAGCAACTATAGAATGTTGGAATCTCTCTGATCATCTCACCTGAGTCACGGTCAGATCGAAGGGCTGTAAACAAACAAAAAGAAAATATTTATTATACATATTATTATATCATTAATACTCGACCAGACACTCGATTGGTTTGTTACGGAAGAACATGTTCAGTATGCTTTAACGTTGAATCATTTAAATCAACGGCACACAACATTAGAGATAAATACTTCTTCTTGATAGATGGCACAGACTGGTTTGGTTTCCTCTTGCACCTTGGTTTTCATGGCAACGAGAAATTTGTCGACTGCCACCTTGTGTGGGTTAGCAACATGGTTGTGGTTTCTGGAATATTTGGTAATAAAGCCTTGGTGGGTGTTCAGGGTTGCTGGACAACCTTTTATACAACATCTCCAGTATACTCGTTCTGCCTTCCTATTCTTCACTCGGAATTTGTATTCTTCATGGACTAAGTTTTCTCCACCTTGAGCATTGGGGATGTACTGCATGTTTACTTGAACGTTTGCCATGATGAAATATGACAGACTGACTTCTGTGTGTCCTTATAAAGACCGTGTAATGTGTAGGCTTACTGAACATAATTCATATTATATTCAAGGGTCATTTTTTGAATAAAATTCATCACTTTAACGATTACAGTGAGTTCATCTCACCAATTATAAGACTGAATATTTAGTCACTTTCAATATTTGTTTTTTTCCATCTAATTACCTATAACACCTAATCCTAATCCGCTTAATACACTAATCCTAATTAGACCTTAATTGGATTAATCAAAAGTGGGCACAGTGAGATGTAACCGTTTAGTTCCCCCCTAAATAGAAAGCTAGCTTGCTTTATTTTAACTATTTGATTTGTTTGTTTTAATTGGCTATCAGTTAAATACAATTTGGAACAGATGACATCGTCGACAATTTATTTTGTAAATCGTGAGTTGGTGCCCAGAAGGTGCGCTGATCAAATCATAGAATCTCTACAACAGGAGATGCATACGAATCGGTTATTTTATTTGCGTAACCTATATAATATAAGTATTTATCAAAGTAAAATTAAAAAGGTGTCATCGATCCATAAATATGAAAGTGACATGATAAATATATTCCCAAGAACGTAATAGATAAAACATACATCATTATTTTTGATCAAATTAGTTTACATGTATATGAATGTCAGCACGCAAAGTTCAATTTAAAAAATAAATCAGTGTGTTTACGTTTTATTGTGAAAATATCAATCATGCAATCTTTTATTTCCTTCCCAGGTACACATATTAAATTTATATTTGTCATGTTCCAAGATTAAAGGCAGATTGTCTATATTCTGGTTATCTGAAAATTAAACTTTGATAAATTTCGTTGAAACATAATTAAATAAAATCTGTGTGTTTTATTTATTTTAGGAATTCTGGTGAAGTGAAAGAATACGAAACAAAGGTTTGTGTGGCTTATTGGTTTTAATTCTCTGAACACCATTGTTATTATTATGAAACATTTATATGGTCACCGTTGATTTCCCTATTCACTATGATGTTAATTCTCGTCTCTTTGGTCGGCTCTAATTTTTCCCAAAATTTTCGTAGACTGGAACGTTTTCAGCCACAGATGTGGCCACGTCTTGCTCAAAACTATGTATGAGGTTCACCATGAAAATCTTAAGATACACAGAAGTTAAGAATAGATGGGTGGACTGTATCCGTATAGCGCATCATTAACCACAGTATGCAGATGTCTTTTTACAATATGTTTATATAGGTGACATCTAAAATGTATAGGTTAACACTTTAAAGATGAAAAATAAAGATGCACAATAATAGAGTATGGAAATCACATTTACTGGGGTATGAAATGTTAACGTGGTTTTAAAAGATAAACATTATCTCTGATAAAAAACAAACAGGTGGGAGCTTATTCCACATAAAGGTGTTAAATTTGCCTAGATGTCCGATAAAGCTGTACGACATGACATGAGTAGAAGGGTATTAAATTATCAATACATTTGTCTAGATACACGATAAAGCTGTACGACATGGCATAAATAAAGTGGGGGGGGGGGGGGCTAACGCCTCTTGCAGTATCAATATATTACTTAATGTCTCCCTCTCGACCATTAAACCATACATTTTTTACAAATTTACGAAGATAGCCACTCAAAGCGTTGAAATACTCCTACACGTCAGCTATTGCTCTACAGTTGCCTATGAGATAGCAAATCTTGGATATTGACCAAATTTGATAAAGATGCCTTTATGGGGATTTCTCCAGAGGGGGAAGCCCCGGGATGAAAGGTCGCATAATGACGATTATCTATAGGATTCATCCTCTTAAGACCCCCAATCCGTCCCCCTAAATTTGAAAAGGATCAGTCTCTATCACATTTACAAGATTTTCAGCGAAGAGCGGGTAACTCCTGAACAAAAGGTCGTGGAACAATGAGTATAGATATGCTTCGTCCCCTCATGATCCCAATGTTTTACACCAAGTCGCGGAATGCTGCATATCGATAAGGTTTGTCCTCTCTGACCACAACATCTCATGTTAAATGTGAGAGATCTGTTAAAAACTATACCCTTGATCGCGTCCACGCGGTTGTTGGGGAACGGGACATGACTCCGGAACGGAAGGCTGCGGAAAGCTGGTTATCGATAATAAGGTTTATCCTCTCATGACCTCAATGTTTCCCACAAAATTTGAAAAACTTCCGTTAAAAACTACAGCCTCAATCGCGTTAATGGATCCGTTAAAACATAGCATGTATCGCTTTTAAGGGGTTATTCGGCAAAGGGGAGGGAGTAATGCCGGAACAGAAAGAGAGAGAAATGGGGTTTAACGTCCACTCGGCAAAGGGGAGGGAGTAATGCCGGAACATAAAGAGAGAGAAATGGGGTTTAACGTCCACTCGACACAAACTAGGTCTTTTTGGGACTAACATGGTTCAGTTTTATTTCAATAATTCGCTTGTGCGTAGGGGTCTTTAGCAGTGGTAGGAAACCGGAGAACCCGTAGAAAACCCACGAGGTTGGACAGGCGACCCTACTTCTTGTCACGCCCAACCACACCTGTTGATTCAATGGCAGACTTTGTGATACAGAGCGCACACACTAACCATTCGGCCACCCCCCACCCCCACCGCGGATCGAAAGATCTCAGAACATCGAAAATTGATAGTTCGCCCGCACATTACCAGTATGCTTAATACCACATTTCAAAAGAATCTGTTAAATTTAGGAAAAGTTACCCTCTTCCAAAACTATTCCAACGTTTGATTTCGACAACACACGTTTCGAGTTTTTATTTCTAAAATTTAAAGTCACTACTGGCGGGTTTAAAAGATTTCTTCAATAGATCTAATTACATGTATACTAAATATCTCAATGTTTTATGTTTCGGTTCGTCAGCCTCGAGGTGTGGCATAATTGACAGTTTTTATTGAATAAGTGAATTGTAAAACTCTTTTATCAAAGCAGAAAGGTTAAAAACAAAAACAGGCTTGTGTAACTGAGTGTTAAACAATATTATATTTATGGTAATGTGGGTGTAAAAGAAGGTGTGTAATATTAATTTTAATTACTGGCTTAATCTATATCTTGAATCTTACTTGGTGACTCGATGACTCGGTGAGAAAGCCGCTGGATCACTAACCATGAGATCCGGGATTTGATCAGGGTGTTGGTCGCGAAAGTTACCGAGATTTGTCAGCCAGTTTATTCTTGTCCGTGGTGCATGGCCGAGGTCCTGGCAAGAAACAACATTTAGTCGTACTGAAGATCCTGAGTATACATGTTGGCGTGGATGTAAAGGAACCCCCTACAGTTGGCATTGGCCGAAGAGAAGGCGGAAACGTCGCTTTCTGGGCAAAAAGTTCCTCATAACACACTGCGTAGTGTTTCTCCTCGTCGTCATTAAGGCGATAAACTCTTCGATCATTCCTTCTAGAACTCGCTACAGTCTCACTTTCTGGTTTTACAGAATCGAGAGTCTCGTCAACTAACGTAATGTGTTGTATATTTTCAGGATGTCACCATGACGTTAGGTGAGGAGAAAGATACCGACGAATACAGAATCGTGGCAGAATTAGTTGACAACGAGGCTTTAGATTTGGGTCCTTACCACACATTGTCCGATAAAACAGTCGTTGGGTCCAGTAATTGGGTACCACCAGAAGAGACAAAAGAAGGGCCTATATATTCGGCCGTTAACAGAGCAAGCCAAAAATCAAATCAAAGTAGTCCCGGTCATCAATACGAAGAAACGGAAACGTCATTTTCCGCCTTGACAGCCGACCCAGCCGTTGTTATTATGTAAAATGGATTTTTTAAACACATATTGCTGATATCTTATTCTTCCATTAAAAATTAACACGCATTAATATTATTATACATGTCTACATTAACCTACTGCTTCATGTTAAACTTATTGCTATTTTCTTTTCAAATTATTTTCTTGCAAAGTGAAACTACTCTAGTACATCGGGTTTTACCGATACAGGGCCTATTATTATTGCAGTTTCCAGGTTATTCCATCAACTGTCAAAATCCGCCCAATTTCAACTCTAACAGGATATCACATGTAGCTTTGAATGAATAAAGTCTAACGGAATACGGGGTGCGATAATGTTAAAAATCTCCTTACCTTACAATGAAAGGTATGGAGTTTTTCACGCCTCCTTAATCTTAAGGAAGTCGGGCACACTGCATTTTGGTAGAGATCTGACTGCTGTAGATCTGAGTTTTGTTTCTGTTTTATCAAGACACATGGCTGAAAAATCAAAATGAATGATGTATGACTGATTGAACTTTCTGTTGTATATTTTATTGTGTATTATTTGCTTTTTATATATATCATATTCATCTATATTACTTACATCATTTATTGTGTGGACATTATGTTCGAATTTTGTCAAAATTGGCTGTGTTATTGTACATAGTAGCAATAGATACTTACCTGCTTTTTATAATTCAAGTATTTACACTAAATGAACAACAACGTATAAAGATAGATTAGCAATTATTTTCAGACATAGAAATCTACATGTATATACATATTTAAATATGATAAAAAAAAATCAGTTTTATTTTGATCAAAATGTTAGATTCATAACCATTGCATGTATTGAAATATTCAAATCAGATTACTTGATTCTTCATAGAATCTACATGCTAAAATATTGTTTCAAAATATGAATATTTTCACATTTAAAAAAAAGGTTTAATTTATGACATAACATCAAAAGTAAATTATATAAATTGCCATTTAATATTCTCTTGATTATGTAGCTTTTTAAACAGATCATTGCAGACAGAACAAGTTTTAAGTATTACATTTTGCTGGGATTTGACTCCACAAAACGAATTGTGATATTCGATATTATTTTATATCTCTTTGGGTCAATAATTTATTTTAATAAAACAAAATGTTGCCTACACATATATAATACATTCCATTACTTATCACATAATAATATAGCTTGTATTAGGAGATTTCAGTTTGTATATACATGTATATATATATATATATCTCCCGTTATTATTTCACTGTTGAAATAAATTTATATCTATTTTTTAGCGTTTCTTGTGAATTTTCTAGATGAGGACATAGAACTTATTACAAGTTGTAGCAGCCACAGGAGTTATGTCTCTGTGACATTGATAATAGACTTACGCAATCTTTATATATCGTGTTAATAGAAATGTTATTAAAATAAGTATTGCTGTTTTAGTTGTGAAAGCGAGATTAGATCAGTGGTCGGATTGTTACGACCACAACCCAGGAACACTCTATGTACAGACAACTCTTTCTACTGGCGGTATATTTGATTTAATGATCGGTGTACACCGGTTACAAGTACGTAAGTCAAGCGACTCGGGTATTGCTCTAGTCTCTATCATCCAGAAAAATAGTCTACAAATATTAGTCGGTATGCGTTGTCAACATTTGAGAATAATAGGTCATTTGCTAGATTATCCGGTCTTTTACATTATCATAACCAAAGTCTAAGGGTGGTAACTAGTCCTAAAACAAGATGTTGATGCCCATGAAATATCCAACACTCTTATTGTAAAATTTATATTTTCGTGGCCCATATCTATGTTTTTAAAATTAATCCTAAGTCGTCGTCACGATTCATGTTAACATATGTTTGTTTATATTAATGCAAGAATTGTGGGATTTATTAAGGGAAGGGGCACAAATCTTACTTGACTTGGCCAAAAGATACTGGATAATCAACCACATTAAAAACCAAACTCCCGGTTACGCATGGGCAATAGACTTTCCGCCAAATATTGACAACGGTCCCTCAGTACGTTGGAGACAAGGAGGTTCTGGGAGACAGAGACTATTTAGTAATCGGTGTAATGTCCGGAGCAATACTAATGATTTCCCCATTGACTTTAATGTTAATTGTCGTTTCTTAGACTTGCTCTAACTTTTTTCCAAGTTTTCTTTGGGTAGAACGCTTTTTACCACAGATAGAGCAACATGTGGCAACTTTTAGCCAAAAGCATGTATGAGGTTTGACGTGGACATGCAATTTTCGGCCCTACATTTCAACATAACCAACCTCTCATCTCTTGTATTCTTCCGTTTCAAAATCATGAATATTCACCAAAACCTGACAGAAAATGTATTTTCAAACCCCTTTCTTTGCTTCTAAACCAAAAAGTCTACAAAAAATAGCCATGGAAAAGGGACAGAAAGACTAAAAATAACGCTCGTCCTACATTCGTGGGTGACGGCGTAGGAAGATTTTGTGAGCTGTGTCCGTATCATTAGTCAAGTAAGAGTTGTGCCCCTTCCCGCAATAAATCCCATAATTCTTGCATTAATACAAACAAACATGAAACGTGACGATGAATTTGGATTTATTTAAAAAAAAACAACATAGATATGGCCCATGAAAAGAGAAATTTTACAATAAAAAAAAATAAGAGTGTTGGATACTCAACTGGCAATGCAATCAAATGGAATTTCCGAAATGGTATTCTTAAATTAATTTCATTGGCGTCAACATCTTTTTTTTTTTTTGGGGGGGGGGGGGTATTTTTGTTTGTATTTATTTATTTTTTTTTTTTTTTTTTTTTTTTTGGGGGGGGGGGGGGCTTTTTTTGCTTAAAATAGAAAATGAAAAATGAATGTATTAAAAATTTCTGAGCAAAGCTTTGAGCGTTTGAAGATGTAGCCCAAATAATAAATTATAAAACATTTGGAGCTAAAATAAAGACATGCAATAGACAGATTTAGCTCTTACATAATGCATCTTTAAAGTAGCTAAGTCTTTAACTCAATATCATCCAAAGTCGTCGACATTGAAAACACCAATTATTTGTCAATTTATATCAACATTGATGTTGTGATCCTACCGGTAAAAGATGGGCTTCTGGTGTCCAATGTTTAACATAAAATAAACATTTTACCATTGGTACACGAATCGTGTTCCATAATGCGTTTCAGCGACATTTGTAACAAGGCACTCGAAGAATGGGGCTAGATGTATATTCCATAAGTAATGTTAAACGGCGACGTCATATTCTTATCTGGGGGGCATGCGCAATAAATACCATCTGTGCAGACTGGAATAACCAGACGCTAGATTGACACTTTTGGCGTATTTCGCCGAACATAACTGATTTGAGATTAGAGTAAAAACTGAAACGATTGATTGTAAATCAGTTTATATACATTCATATTACATGTTGCGACCCATTTGTGTCAATTCCTAGGTCCCAAATATTAGCTCCTTTAAGTGATGTAGGAAGCTCTAGTACTCGGTTATGCTTTGGAAAGAATAATTTAGTGATGAAACTCGAGGTAGAAACATATTGAGGTTATCATGTGCAATTAGGCGGTGCTTAGTTGTAAGAAATATTGACCTTAAACTTCGATTATTGTAGCGCTAACTTTTATCAAGACACATGGCTGAAGAATCAAAATGAATGATGTATGACTGACTGAACTTTCTGTTGTATATTTTATTGTGTATTATTTGCTTTTTATATATATCATATTCATCTATATACAACTGGCGGTAGTTTTTACTTTGATGTCCATAGCAGTTATATCTCATAACAACCTGTCATGACATCATCATAGGTTGATATATTCGTTCATATCAACCGCTGATGACGTCATGACAGGTTGATATTTAATATCAACCGCTAATGACGTCATCTCAGGTCAACACATTCGGCTCATATCAACCGCTGACGACGTAGATGATCGAAATAATACAAAAAAACACGGGAATAAATTTTTATTCTTTTGACAATTAAAATTTGCTATGGTACAGTTTCTAACATTCAGGACCGAAATTGACGGCGTACTCATCGACATACATGTATTTAGATCGGTTATCCATGTCTAAGACATCTTTCAGAATTTTCTTTTCGTCCACATTGCGATTATTTCTCCACACACTACAAGACTTGAAAGTATTTATCGCCCAAGAGTTCCTTTGTAAAGTATTTTTGGGTACTGTCCACTTAAAACAGTCGGTCAAATCTTTCTCTGAACATACCGAAAACCTTCAATCATGGTTTACTGTCAGAATTCTTGGAAAAGAATGCCTTTTGGTCCAAATTTTCTGCAGGCTTTGGATAGATCCTCGTCGATATTTGCATTCACATCTATTCCATCGTCAATATGTTGGCTAAAAAGGATTAATTATTCGTCTGACTTCGTATTATTATACATTTTGTTTTTGCTTTCAATTCAATAGTCCAAAATGGCGACGTATAAACAAAAACATGCACGTAATTGCACGTGATTACTTCGGTAATTTTCGCTATTTGGTGGAAACTATCGAGCAATTATCCAATCGTTGTTGCCTTTTAATGGAAGAGCCCATTAAATTTAAGGGTGAAATGGCGTTGTATATGTCGGATATAAACCTACTCTCCCTCGGATTGAGATGGTAGGGAACGCTTGGGCTTCGCCGTCGCGTTCTGTACCATATCAACCTCGGGTAGGTTAATATCCTATACATATTACTTACATCATTTATTGTGTGGACATTATGTTCGAATTTTGTCAAAATTGGCTGTGTTATTGTACATAGTAGCAATAGATACTTACCTGCTTTTTATAATTGAAGTATTTACACAAAATGAACAACAACGTATAAAGATAGATTACATTAGTAATCTACATGTATATACATATTTAAATACACAAAATGAACAACAACGTATAAAGATAGATTACATTAGTAATCTACATGTATATACATATTTAAATATGATAAAAAAAATCAGTTTTATTTTGATCAAAATGTTAGATTCATAACCATTGCATGTATTGAAATATTCAAATCAGATTACTTGATTCTTCATAGAATCTACATGCTAAAATATTGTTTCAAAATATGAATATTTTCACATTTAAAAAAAAGGTTTAATTTATGACATAACATCAAAAGTAAATTATATAAATTGCCATTTAATATTCTCTTGATTATGTAGCTTTTTAAACAGATCATTGCAGACTATGGTGGCTGATAGTGGCCATGTTAAATCTCGCCCTTTTCATAACGCGACAACACGACATCACGACAGTATTGACGCAATCATACGACACTTTATTCTGTCGTATCATCGTGTTATTTTTATCGTAACGTCGAGATGTCGACTTATTGTCCTAGTCTCTTTCTACAAGTCACAAAAATACAGCTGTACTCATTACATCAGATACATATAAATAGATACATATAAATAAGACTCGTCAAAAGAGATAATAGGAAAACGTTGATTCGTTTTCTAAAAAAAAATGAAACTTTTTGCGCCCAAAATTGAATTATATTTGGTATTATATTCAAAAAATCTAGAATTATAATAGCAGGACAAAAGTGAGTCAGCTATGTTAATTCCTTGAATAAGAAGTGGTGTCGGTAGGTATCGAACAAGTATGCATTGCCTCGTGTACGACACCCACTAATACTTATAGATTACTGAAGCGATAGTTTAGAAGCGATTTCAGAAGATGTCCAATTTATTTTATTAGAGTGGGAAGGGGATTATATAAAACCTCAAATCAGACCACATAAAATCACCGCTTGGTGTAGCACGCCATCCCAATAAGTGCAGGGGAGGTTTTTTATGAGGTGAGGAAAGCGATTTGCAGCTGTTATTGACCTTATCTCATATTCATCCGTTTGGCATCACTAATGGGATCGGGGCCTAGATGATTAAAAATAGGCCCAGTATTGCCTTCAGCTATGAACACACTCCGAAAGTCCTCTACGCACCCCCCCCCCCCTCTTATTTTGTTTAACAAATAATTTCGGAATCAATAAAATGGTAGGTCCCTATCAATGATGTTTGATACGACTGGAAATTAATGTGTCTAAAATTGATTAAACAACATAGGGTAGTAAATATTACATTTTGAATCCGTATCAATGATACATTTACTCAAAATGGATCACCATTTAACTTGAAAACAAGGGAAGCAGCCGATCGAAGAAAAAAAGATTTTAAAAAACAAGTTTCAATATGATAGTAGTGGTTCGGTCATGCATTTACATCTGTGGGTGTCATCCTTTCTTTGAAAGTAATGATTGTGCCA